TGAGGAGCAACATGTGCATGGAAAAATCCGGGAGAGGCTGTTTAMTGGGCACAGGTTGGATTAAATAATTGGTTATTAAATAAAAACTCTGTTTCCATTGCCTGTGCTGTGTCCTGAGCCGACCAGCACCGCTGGGATTTGGGTCAGCATCAAATCATGGAATCTCCTGAGCTGGAAGGGCCCACAGGGATCATTGATCCAAGCCCTGCCCTGCAATCCCAGCCTGTGGGATGCCAAAGGAGCATTCCCTGGACAAAACCTTGGGATCAATCTCTGATCCTTGAGGTCAAATCACAGATTCCCAGAGTGGTTTGGGATGGAAGGGACATTACAGATCATCCCATCCACCCCTGCCATGGCAGGGACACCTCCCACTGTCCCAGGCTGCTCCCAGCCCCAATGTCCAGCCTGGCCTTGGGCACTCAAAGGGATCCAGGGGCAGCCACAGCTTCTCTGGGCACCTGTGCCAGGGCCTGCCCACCCTTTCAGGGAGGAATTTCTTTCCAGTATCCCATAAAACCCTGCCTTCCTATAGCAATGGGGCATAGGGACACAATCCCAATCCCTTTCCTGGCTCAGCCCAGGGTTCAGGGGATTTAGGGCAGGTCCAGCTCTCCCAGGGCTGCTCCTTCTGCCCATCCCAGCCTGGTTTGATCCCAGGACTGTCCCAATCCTGGTGCAGCTCCAACTCTTGGCTTTGTTAAACCTCATGAGGTTCCCATGGGGCATTTCTGGATCTTGTCCCGCTGCTCCCGCCCCGTTCCCGGTGCCCTCCCGTTCCCGGTGCCCCCTGTTCCACTCCCCGCAGCCTTTCCCATCACAGCTCCGGCTCTGAGCAGGTTCCCCTGCCCGGCTGGAGGCTCGGGCCGGGGGCTGGGCTGGCTTTGGGGCAGCGATAACGACGTGCGAACCCCAAACAGGACAYGGGGGAAATGGTGCGGGAGATCAGCGCCGTTCTCAGCTCAGGAATGTTCTGCTCGCTCCCGCTCGCTCTATCTGCTGTTTTTATCGGTTTTTCCCCGCTTTCTGCACTCCAGGTTCCAGATTTAGCAGGTCTGGCCCAGGCAGCGGTGAGTGATGATGGCTCTGATAACCCCAAAAGCCGCGGGGCACTCCTGGAGCTCTCACAGAGTGGGTTTTTATGTTATAGGGTGCTTCAGCTGCACTGTTTGATCGCAGGGGTTTGATCCCACATCCCTCAGATCCCAGGATTTCTGGTGGGGATTGGGGATTTGGGATTAGGGACTGGGGATTGGGGTCTGGGGATTGGGGACTCGGATTGGGGATTGGGGATTTGGGGATTGGAGATTGTGAATTTGGGATTGGGGATTTGGGGACTGGGTATTGGGGATTGGGGAATGGGGATTTGAGGATTGGGGATTTGGGATTGGGGTCTGGGGATTGGGGACTGGGGATTTGGGGATTTGGGATTGGGGTCTGGGGATTGGGGACTGGGGATTTGAAATTGGGGATCTGGGATTAGGGATTTGGGATTGGGGACTGGAGTGTGGGGATTGGGGATTGGGATCTGGGGATTGGGGATTGGGGATTTGGGGATTTGGAATTGGGGACTGGGGTCTGGGGATCAGGGACTGGGGACTGGGGAATGGGATTGGGGATTTGGAGATTTGGGGATTGGGGATTGGGGATTTGGGGATTTGGGGATTGGGGTCTGGGGATTTGGGATTAGGGAATGGGGATTGGGGTCTGGGAATTGGGGGCTGGGGATTGGGATTGGGGATTGGGATAAAATGGAGGGAAGTGGGGATAAAAAGGAGGGAGATTGGGATGAAAAGGAGGGAAATTGAGATAAAATGGAGGGAAATGGGGATAAAAAGGAGGGAAATCGGGATGAAAAGGAACCTGTGCCCTCCAGCAATGAGAGAGACCCCATGGAAATGCCCCATGGCCTCTCCCTTTATCGGAATAAAGTTCCAGGACTMCTCTGTCTCCTTTTTGGACACAAACCTGTGGTGCTGGTGGATGAATTTTGCTCACAAAGCTGTGCCCAGCTGTGCCCCGAGGCTGCCCCGGGATCGCTGCTCCCAACGCCGCATCCAAACCYGCCCGGGGCTGCAGGGGCAGCTCCAGGTGAGGAATTGGCCGCTGACATTTGGAGATCAGAGCAGATCTGGGAGCACCAGGAGAGCTCCCAGCACCTGCCTGGCCCTGGTCAGTGGCGTGGAGAGAGGGGACGGGTGAGTGGGTGCCACTGCCCCGAGCCTGTGGAACAGGTTGGGAGGAAAAAACAACATCTGAGGCCACGGGCAGAGCTTTAAATCTAAATTTTATTGCTTTTTACAGGTGAGAAAACCTGGGGGGGAAGAGAATTCCAAGATTGGAAGGTGAAAGCCCAAGGGGGAACCCACAGCGAGCGCCGAGGGGTGATGGGGAAACAGCTGAGCTATGAGACCTCCCCTGGTTTTAAATTTAAATTAAATTAAAAGGTAGAGCTGCTAAAATAAATTAAAAAAACAACTGATAAAATTAATGCTGAGCATCATCATCCTCACAAATAACCCTCCTGGAGCTATGAAAATAAAATGACCCAAAATCCCTGAAAACATCTGGGGTGGAGGGAGAGCAGCAGGAGGGGACCCTTGGGATGAGATTCACTCGAAGGGGTTAATGCCACTGAAGGGTTTCATGAATTAAAGGTTTTCATGAGTTAAAGGTTTTCATGTCCTTAAAGGTTTCCATGAATTAAAGTTTTTCATAAATTAAAGGTTTTTATGTCATTAAAGGTTTTAATGAATTAAAGGTTTTCATGTCCTTAAAGGTTTTCATGAATTAAAATTTTTCATTAATTAAAGTTTTCAATGAATTAAAGGTTTTCATGAATTAAAGGTTTTTATGTCATTAAAGATACCATGAATTAAAGGTTTTAATGAATTAAAGATTTTTGTCAATTAAAGGTTTTTATGTCATTTTTTATGTCATTATATCAATTTTTGGTGCAAGTTTCCACAGAGCCCAGGGGTCTGGCTCTGCAGATCCTCTCCCAGGATCCCAAAAGAGCAGTGCCCAAGCTGAGAAATCCACATTTTTCCAAAGCTGRGCTTGGGTTTCCATTCCTCTGGAGGMAGAAGTGACTGGRATAATTCAGCTGCTGGAGCTTTTCYAAGGTGCTCCAGACCCTGAAAACCTGGATTTTGTCCTCAGTTTAATGGGAGGCACTATATAAATATCCTTAAAAATAAAAAAAACCCTTGGATTTGGGAGTGTCTGGGAGCACAGGCAGGGCTGGAATGTCGCTCAGGTGGAAGTTTGGTGCTGAAGAAGTGCCTGGAACAGGAATCTGCTGGAATTGTCCCCCATCCAAACTCCCTGCCCTCGCCTCAYCTTGAAAGCAGCTGCTCTGCTCTTCCTTCCAGCCTTTCCCTCTTTCCAGCAGCTAAAAATGGGATTTGAGTCTGCAGAGTGGAAATCAGGAGCCCACTCCTGCCCAGGCTGTGGCCTCTTCCATCCCAAAGCAGCCCCAGGCTGGCAGAGCTGTTGTTTGAAGGATGTCCAGGGCAGTGGAATCTCCCTTTTTAGCAGAGGGATGGATTTTGGTGCCTCAGCAGCTGAATTTGGCTGCCCTGACCCTGCARACCCAGCCTGGGGAGGAGGGAAAAGGAGGGGAGGGCAGGGAAACCTTGGATTTTGTGTTGGAGATACCAGGGAGGTGCTCACAGGGTGGGATTTCAGCATATGTGGCTGATTAAACTGCAGAAATCACGGAATTGTTCTTCCYAGGATGGAAATTCCCTTCCCAGCCAGCGGCTGGCACTCAGGCCTTAATGAATTGGGGTAATAATTAATAATTTGTTGGGATTGAAGCTCGGGGAATGTTACCCACTTCCACAGCACAGACCCCTTGGGCTGATCAATCTCTGTAAAAGGATTTTGCTGCAGGATTGAASCCCATCCTTTAAAAGGAAATTAAAAACAGCCAGCAACACCAGTCTGRGAAACTGCTGGGAATCAGGATAATGGGAACATTTGGGCAGGAAAAGCCCTGAGTCCAACCTTAACCCAGCACTAACACACTGTACCCAGGTGACATGACAGCCGCTAAAAAATTTCCCTCCAAAAATCTGTTTTTTCCACAGAAATGCTTCTCAGAAAAACGTGGGAAATTTTTTCCGGAAATGTTGTCCCAAAGAGGGGATTGATTCTGAAGGAACTAGGTTAGCACAGCGTGGTACAATTTATGAAATCATTATTCTAAGCTGGRCAAAAATGCAAATTAAATCTTCCAGCTGCTTTTTCTTGGGAGRATTTCTTGAAAATAGTTGTCTGAGCTGTTTGGCAATTAACACCTCTGCTTTGTTTTTGGCTCTAATTAGGGCCTGATTGGRTTCTGATTTCACATTGGCAACACCAAGATTTGCCTTTGTAGAGAATCAGAGAATCCCAGACTGGGTTGGGTTGGAACAGAGACAAAATTCATCCCATCCCAACCCTGCCATGGCAGGGACCTCTCCCGATGTCCAGCCTGGCCTTGGACACTGCCAGGGATCCAGGGGCAGCCACAGCTTCTCTGGGAATCCATTTCTACCTTCCCAGGGAGGAGTTCCATCTCCAAATCCCATCCATCCCCAAATCCCATCCATCCCCAAATCCATCCATCCCCAAATCCATCCATCCCCAAATCCATCCATCCCCAAATCCCATCCATCCCCAAATCCCATCCATCCCCAAATCCATCCATCCCCAAATCCCATCCATCCCCAAATCCATCCCTCCCTGCCTTCCAGCCCCGTTTCAGCGGTGAAGCTGATGGATCTGTGATATTCCATGTCCCATTGCTGACCCCACAGAGATCCCAAAGGGACCCCACGGTGATCCCAAAGGCACGCTGGGCTCCAAGATAACCCCAGGATATCCCAGCCCCACCAGCTGCCCCTGCCCTGCTCTCCAGCCTGCCCAGGCTCTGCAGAAGGTCCAGGAGCTCCCCCAGCCCCAGCAGGTCCCGCTCACACCATCCCCRTCCCAYACCCAGCCCTCCYCATTCCCTAGGAGCGTTTCTCCTCRGGAATCCTTCTGGCTGGCTGCTCCACAGCCCGCTGGTTCTCCAGGACRCAGCAGAGTTTGTAGTTCTCGATGAGTTTGGCCTGGCAGTACTGCAGGTCCCTCCTGTGCCAGGCGTCGGTGGCGATGTAGGTGTTGTAGGGGTCGCGGGGCCCCTCTCCCCGCCGCGCCTGCAGGTTGCTGACCATCACCCCCAGGGTGAAGAACCCGAACAGCCCCACCAGCAGCAGCACGTAGATGATCTCCAGGTCATCGCTGGCCTTGCTCACGGGCGCAGGGCTTGAGCTGTTGGTCCGGGCCAGGCAGTCCTGCAGCAGCTTGGACAGCAGCAGGTTCAGGGCCGTGCTGTTTGACATCGCCAGCATCTTGATTTCTGTCCCTGGTGCTTCTTCCTTTGGCTAKAAAAGGGTAAAAAACAGATAAAGAGGGGTTTCCTCTGTCTCCTTTCAGTGGTTCCCCTCCTCAGAGAGGATTTGCCTCACAGAGCCTGGAGAGGCTGCTCAGCTCCTGCTTGAATTTGAATTCCTGACACGGAATTCTCCCCAGAATTTCCCTGATCATGGGCAGGGCTGAGCCCACCCCACTAACCCTTCAGAGCACCCCTGGGTGTCACAGATGGGCTGTGCAGCACCAGAGACCCCACCCCGACCTCCTGGTGCTGTTCAAAGTCCAGAACTGCCCCCAGAGCCCCCAGGGCGTGAGGAGAGTCCCAGGCAGAGGGGACAGCTCCGAACTCTGCTCTGGGACAGGGACAGAGCCAGGGCAGGCTCAGGCTGGAGAGCAGGGAAAGGTTCTTCTGTCCCCAGAGGGTGCTGGCACTGCCCAGGCTCCCCAGGGAACGGGCACGGCCCGAGGCTGCCAGAGCTCCAGGAGCAGGCAATGGTGACCCCTGGAATCATCTGGAAGGCCAAAGGCTCCCAGGCACAGCCCCGTGCTGTGACAGTCTCCAGGGGAAGCTGAAGAGATTTTTTCCCTTTCCAGCACCACCAGTAAATTGGGTAATGAGAGGAAACCCGTCAGCGCTGCCTTCCCAACCCCCCTGCAAACAGGGAACATCAGATCATAAAATCATGGAATCATTTGGGATTGGAAGGGACCTTAAAGCCCACCCAGTGCCACCCCTGCCATGGCAGGGACACCTCCCACTGTCCCAGGCTGCTCCCAGCCCCAATGTCCAGCCTGGCCTTGGGCACTCAAAGGGATCCAGGGGCAGCCACAGCTTCTCTAGGCACCCTGTGCCAGGGCCTGCCCACCCTCCCAGGGAACAATTCCTGCCCAATATCCCATCTGGCCCTGCCCTCTGGCACTGGGAAGCAATTCCCTGGCTCCTGTCCCTGCAGCCCTTGGAAATTGTCTCTCTCCATCTTTTGTAGCTCCATCCAAGGCCAGGCTGGACATTGGGGCTGGGAGCAGCCTGGGACAGTGAGAAGTGTCCCTGCCATGGCTGGGGTGGCACTGGCTGGGCTTTAAGATCCCTCCCAACCAAAACCATTCCATGATTCCATGAAAAACTTATTCTTKTCTCCATTTCTGTTCCCTGACATTAATCACATTGATAAATGTGGTTTAAATTGACATTAATCACACAGACATGGATGTGAAATATGGACAGACTTTAACACCTTTCTCTCAGCTCTCCCGAATCAAAGCRCCTCGATTTTCATCTCCACCAAGCAAACATCTCCATCCCTCCCTCCTGCTGCTGCTCCAGGAGCCCCCACGTTTAGAGAACACAGGTATTTCTCAGCTCCTGGTGCTTTGATGGCACTGAAACAGCTCTCAGAGCAGAAATCAGCCCAGCCCAGCACCCACCACCCACACTTTCCGCCTCCCAAACGGAGCCCTGGTGCTCCTCCAACGCCGTGAAAGATCCGCTGATCCCTCTGGCTGTTTTCCCTGCCATTCCTCGGGGGATGAATCTCTCAAACACCGCTCTCCATCGCACAGCCCAGCCCCCTTTCCCCGCTCCGGCTCCCGGCAATTCCGCAGCCGAGCAGCCCCGGGGGCAGCGGCGCATCCCGGCCGGAGGAGCCGCTCCAGGGACGGACCCTGCGAGCAGCGAACGCCCCCGGAGCCCCTACTGTCCCCACCTGTCCTGGGGGTGTCCAGGGCCACCTGTCCCCGCCTGCCCAGGGCCATCTGCCTCGCTCACCCGGGCAGCACCTCCGCTCCCTACAAAGCAGCACCCGCGCAGCGGGGACACGGAATTCTCCCCAAAATTTTCCTGATCACAAGCCAGAAATCTAGTTTCCTTGCATTTTCAGCTGCCCTGAAGCGGAAAACCCAGCAATCCTCCCWAAAAACCTCACAGGACGGAGCCGCCTGGGGATCGCTCCAGCCCGGAGTGGCGAACACTGGCACGGCTGGAATAGCGAACTCGCTCCGSTTCCCGCTGCTCCATCAGCTCCGATCCTGCGAATTCCCAATTTTCCGCCACCCCCGCTCTCACCGCGGACAGACCTGGCCGTGCCGGGCTCCAGCCCCTCCTGGGCGAGGAGAAGTGGGAGATGCCAGGTCTGGAAAGCCCTCAGGTGATGGGTGAGAGGGGCTGAGACGGCTCCGGGATCCCGCGGGGACAGCGCCCGGCTGTCCCTGTCCCTGTCCCTGTCCCTGTCCCTGTCCCTGTCCCTGTCCCTGTCCCTGTCCCTGTCTCTCTCCCTGTCCGGTCCGGGCTCAGGTGAGGGGCGGACAGGGAAACTCCTGGGGAGGGAGGGAAGGAGGGAGGGCAGGAGCCGCCCGTGAGCGCTGCAGGTGCCCGGGGGAGGCGCGGGGGGGTGGAATGGGGGACCAGAGCAGCACAGGAGAGAGAATCAGAGAATTCCTGAGCGGGAAGGGACCCCTCAGGATCGCCCACTGCTCCCCCTGTCCCTGCCCAGTCCCCCCAGCAATCCCAGCCTGTGCATCCCTGGCAGCGCTGTCCAAACGCTCCTGGAGCTCTGGCAGCCTCGGGGCCGTGCCCGTTCCCTGGGGAGCCTGGGCAGTGCCAGCACCCTCTGGGGACAGAAGAACCTTTCCCTGCTCTCCAGCCTGGACTGGGATGGGATGGGATCCATGGGATGGGAYGGGATGRCCCCTCCTTGCCAGAYCCTCTTTCCCAGGTGCTGTTGCCARGGCAGCAGCTGGACAGAGSAACTGAGGTAGTGGTTGAGGGATTGAAATAAAACAWTATCTCGGTATTTTCCTTCTCCCCACTTTCCCAGAGCTCCATTCCGTGCTCCCCTGGGATGGTGCAGTTCCTCGCTGCACCCAAAGGAAGGAGCAGCCTGTGGAGTTCATTCCCCAGGCTGTGCCCAGATCGCGGGGAAAATCTGACTCCTGCATCCCACGTGCACTGCTGGGTCCAGCTCTGGAATTCTCAGCACAGGAAGGACGTGGAGCTGCTGGAGAGAGCCCAGAGGAGGCAGCAGGATGGAGGGATGTCAGAGGGATGGAGCAGCTGTGCTGGGAGGAAAGGCTGGGAGAGCCGGGATTGTTCAGCCTGGACAGGAGAAGCTTTGGGCTGAGCTCAGTGTGGCCTTGCAGGGCCTGAAGGAGCCCACAGGAACCATGGAGAGAGACAATTTCCAAGGGCTGCAGGGACAGGGCAAGGGGAATTGGCCTCAAAGTGAAAAATTACAGGTTTAGATCAGATATTAGG